TTCACTTCAAGAGATTTATCCACGCGGCTTTTAAAAACTCACATCACAGGGCCCAAAAACTTTGCAAGCAAAATTTCCAATTTCAAAACCAGGTATATGCAGTTCTTTTATATGAGGAAAGACAGTTTCCTTTCTGATAAAACAGTCCTGGAAAAGGTACCTGCAATATTCATTTAAAATCCTTACAAGACAAAGTGCCTGATTTTTGTATGTCCTTTGTCCAACGGGAATTTTCAATATGATCTCTTAAAATATGGTATATATTTTCTTTAACGAAGGTCGTGTTTGTTGTGAGTTTCTAACATGACGGCCTGCAGTCTGTGCCCTTCTTTACTGAAAATAAAAGCTATACCAACCAGGCCTGTCACAAGTGCCTCAACAAAAGAGCCAAACAAAACCCAAGTCCCAGGAAGGTTGACAAAGGCAATGAGGACAGCCGAACAGATTCTAAGAGTATTTAATCGCCATTGATTCTTTCTTCACCCTGCACCTCCTTCCTCTACTTCCAAATAGCACAAGCAAATACTATGAATTTTCTGGTTGCAGCTTTCTCTAAATGTTTGTGGAAAGAATAATATCTTGCCATTATGTTTGTTTAAGTGGCAAGACTGTGAATGTCTTTAGAATATAATAAAGCTCAATTTTTTTTTAAACAGTCGGAGAGTGGAGTTAGAGCATTGTTGGCTTACTCAGACTTAAATTCTGCTTCTAAGAACCTGTGAAACGTTCACTCCTATAATGTGATTATTTTTCACTTCTTTTCTACTCCTCTCAGGCGCCAAATGGTCTCCCAGCTGTGGGCAGTTTTGTGTCAGCATCCAGCATGGCTCCTTACCCTACCCCGGCCCAAGTGTCGCCTTACATGACCTACAGCGCTGCTCCTTCTGGTTATGTTGCTGGACATGGGTGGCAACATGCTGGCAGCACCCCATTGTCACCCCACAACTGTGACATTCCCGCATCGCTGGCGTTCAAGGGAATGCAGGCAGCCAGAGAAGGTAGTCATTCTGTCACGGCTTCCGCACTCTGATGGGAAATTCCGTCTCCAGCAGCTTCACCCGGGTCTCCCCGTATCAGCACCTCCTCCCCCAATTCGCAGGTCTCACATTCCACCCCTCCTGCCCTCCAACTCTCCTGCCTTGAAAGCTGGCTGTACGGACTCACATCCTTTGTGCTGATGATACTTACATATTTCTTGCCATAACTTTTCTCTTGCAGAAAAACTGACATGACTTTAGGATTTAAAAACAAGAGCAACAATAAGCATTGAATGAGACATTGTGTTGCCCACATACTGTCTTAATATAGCAAAGAAACCTACACCCCTCAAAGGGTTTAAGGAACTTTACAAACTAGTCTTTGGTAAAACCACGTGTGTATATTTATTCTAAATCAACCTAAACTTTTGAAATGTGCAATTGTTGAGATTTTGCAAAATCAATAAAGGAAAGTACTTATAGAAAAAAAATTATGCTACACCCTCTAATCAAATATGGTAACCAAGTAAGCTTTAATTCATCATTAGGAAACAAATCAATAATTGACTTGAGTGATCCTTTGTTTATCTTTAAGACATGACCTATTTTGTTGAAAAATATATGTAGAACCCAAGCAATATCTGAATCTAGCTCTCCCTGGTGTTTTGACTTGGTTCCAAATACAATAATGTTTATATTTTCTATTAGTTTGTAAATATGGACTCTGGATGGTGCATTTGTGTCTTCATTCCATAAGATATTCCCCTCCCCCCAGCCCCACCTCCTTCTCTATTTTTTTCTTTCTTTTTTGCAAAGGTGACTTTCTGGCAACGTCTTTGTCTCTGTTTGGTGGTGGGCTGCTCGGGCTCCTGGACCTGGACTTGCCCCCAGATTTTGTGTATGCAGTGAAGGCTTCAACATCTCATGAAGGACACTTTCTTTCTACAGCAGAGGACATGAAAAACAAATAAACAAGCCAGTCTCTCATTTTGTACCTAATCAAACAACACACACACCAAGCATATAAAGACAAGAGGGTGGAAGATATCTGAACAAGAAGGCTCTAAAGGAAGTCACTTAGAAACTTAAGTTTAATGTGAAATGTTTTGCAAAGATGCTTAAAATGAACTTTGTGTTAAGAAAACCACTGTGAAACTAAATTGTACTGTTATTGTTGGCTTACCTGTGTGTTCAGCAATCTCAGCCCAAAATTATGTTGTAATTTAAAGAAAATGGAAAATTCTGCTCTAATGAATGTAACAATGGCTTGCTGTGAAGTTTACATTGTTGTACAGAAGCATGTATCACATGTAGGTAAACTGGTGGTGGTACTAGAAATACAATGTTATTTAATTTTAACAAATTCCCTTTATTCATTTCTGAAATTACAGAACACAGTTTAACTCATAAACCTTTCTAGACCAATTTATTTTTCACTTTAATGTTAATAACAGCTGTGGAGTATATGTGTGTGTGAGCATGTGAGTAGTATGTGTTGTATTTTAAAACGATTGATTTTCTGGGGCAAAATTCTACAGTTTGTAATCCCTTCTGTTTAGGAAGTTCTTCCTGGTTGGCAAAATAGGCTTAAAAATATGTTTTTAGGACATTGGTACAATTCAACTGTTGGAAAATTAATATATTGAGGGTTTTTTGGTACTAATTCTGTGCAATAACTAAAAGAGCACCTCACTGGATATGGATGTTGAAGATGGATTCCCTAGGTGATTTTAGTTTCTTCCCATCTGTGCTGTGCAGTCTACATGGCAATGCAGTTCCACCACATCAGTTTCATGGCTTCATTTAAAACTCAGATGGCTAGATTAGTTAGGTTTTCAAATCACTAGGATGTAAACAGTAAGCAGATTAACATAACAAGTTATGTTAGAGTGACTGCTTTTTTCAAACAGCAGATATCTTATAGAGAGCTTTGAACTGCATTTATTTCTAAAGCAACCGAAATTCAGTGCTACAAATAGAGGATTATAACTTCAGGAGAAGAAAAAGCAGGAGCAGATGAACTCTCAGGGCCATAGTCTTCCTTTGATCTTGTAAAACTCCCATTGACATCTGGAGTTCCCAGTCTGGTGAGAAAATAGACTATAAACTGAATGGAACAAAGATCCAATCCAATAATTTGGTGGAGACTTTAAAACCATACCATGCAGGGACTTTCCTGTCATCTGAAAAACTGATGTAAGGTACAGAGCTATTCTTTATCAAACGTTTTTAGGTGGCTGTTAGGGGGCTTTAAAAATTATTAATTGCTTGTGTGGAAATGCAAATAATGTTATTTTCTTTATCTAAATTAAGAAATATCTTGTTATTGTGCTATTTATAATTTTTTTCTGGTTCTTGTATTTTAAAAAATCTAATATTAATGGTATCGAAGTTTCCTTTTCTCCCTCTAGGTCTTAACAGTGAATTCACATGGAGTAATTTTTAAAAGACAACAGATACAATTTGCTATTCAAAGAAAATTATGATTTAAAGCCACTTTTTAAAATACAAGAAGAAAAATAGAATGGATTAAAGGGTTAACTTTTAAAGATTATTATTATTGGTTAATGTTGACATATTTCCTCTATCTCATAGATGATAAAAGTGTTGCTTTTAAACTGGCAAATGCACTCTTCAGAAATCCTTTTCTATCTCATCCACATGGAGAGGTTAAAGGTTCAATTTCATGGCCTCTATGCAGGCAGTGCTCTCATAGAATGCAAGAGTATTACCTGCAAGGATAGAATGCAGTTGTGCAACAGAGACACACTCTTATTTCTCTTTTTTAACAATTTTGTTTTGTTTTTAATGACCCTTTTATTGACTATTGGACTGAAATATAAATTTTAAAAAACACGTTGGAAAGGATGTACAACAGAAGGCTATGTATGTATATACAGTATGTCAAAAGCCTTTTATTTTTATACTTCAAATGCTCTAAATTAATAAAAAGTAATAATTACCATGTTATCTTTTACTTTTTATTTTCAAAATGCTTTAGTAGTAGAAATAGCCCACGGTAGTAACTTAGGACAGGTGTCATGTGGACTTTCAGGTATTCTTGTTGACTTTACTGAATCAGCATCATTTCTGGATGCAGATATAAAATCAAGTTTGGTTACATCAAGACCAAGAAGATATTTTTGGTGGTACACATTAGTATAGTAATCCTCAGAAATGCTAAGTGTATTTCTCTTCTGGAACATTTCTCCTTCATCATACATATTTTAATACTGCAGACAGCCGACTTCCCATCTGAAGTTGTCGTTTAAAACTAATAACCTGAAAATGCAGTTCTGTTCTATACATTCTTCCTAAAAATGGCGCAGGTAGGCATGTTGAACAAAGGTATTTGGATGTAAATACTGATGGCTGACAAATGGGTCCAAAGGTGCTTCCAATTTGTGATTTAACGTGAAAATATCTCATCAACAAAACTTGTCTTCAAAGAGAACTATGAGAAGCAAAGTAAATTTTATTGCATGTTTCCTACTTGTTAGAAGAGATTTGGGATATCATGATTTAAAAATACATGCTTAAACAACAGTGTTTTAACATTCTGTTCTAAACAATGTTTTAAAATACCTGTTTATTATCTTACAGCAATGTGAGATATAAAGTAGATGTAGGAAAATAGAGCTGATATGTGCATAGATACTACAGAAAACCAACAGATTTACATTTTAACATAGTATTCATAAAATTAAACATTCTAAAAAGGTCATTTTAGTGCACTTTAAAGCATTTTTCTTGTGCTCTTAAAATATTATTTATGGAATAATTTAATTCATTATAAAAACTGTTTAAATTTTGGCTTAACTTTTTTTAACCCAGTCTTTGAATGATTTGAGTTATTTTCAATAGTTTAAGCATTTCTAGACCTCTTAGAAAAAAATACTGATCAATACAATGAATTTTCATTGTGAAGCAGTGAAGAGGAACATAGGAGACAAAGTTTATATTTCTTTTACAAAATATATGATTTCTATGCTATTTTCCTATATTCACTTTAAATACCTCATTGTTCCATATTATTTTTTCTTCTCACAGTTTTATTTATACAGCCAAAGTATCATCTCAAGTTGTCTATAGATATTTTTAAAGTATTAAAATAGATTTTGTTCTTGAACAGTTTTCTCTTTCATAATTATACACCTGGCTGGTCGATAGTCTCTCTTCTTCATGGTGCTGCATAGCAAATATCCATTATCTCAAGGGGGAAAAACACTTCCTAGGCAATCACCAGTTCTCCTGAAGCCATGAATAGGTGTATTCATAAACCAGCAGCATCACTGCACCACCTAGAAAAGAAAAGAGCTGTTTTTTATTGCAAATCCTCTGGAATAGCACTGGCTTTCCCACTGGGTTTCTGAATCCATGATGTCTCACACAGCCTGTCGGGCAGAGGCTGTTCAGAATCAGCAGTTCTGGAGCTTCAATACAAAGATACAAACTACTGTGGAAAATTCTCAGGATAAAATCAATACCATCTTGAGTCTCCAAATACATTTTTCGCCCATGAGTTTTTGCAACTTTCATCATTTCTCATCAGATTCTTCTTCAGGCACTTTTAATTTTTAAAAGTAAATAAATATAGACATATTTAGTCATGTAAGGGCATGTGGCTTTCCTGCAAACAGAAACCTTCAGATTCTTCATGTGTAGGCTAAGGATTTATCTTTTCCAGTCCATAATTAGCAGTCTTAATTGCATTCAAGAAGGAAATCTCTAAGATGGTGCTTGATGGATGAGTCTAGTTTTCTGTCATAGCTTTCAAACTGCATTGCAATGTGGAAATTAGATTCTGAATATTTAAAAAATCTGTATTGCAAAACCTAACAAAAGCAGGTTGAAAGCTAACCTTCATTCCTTTTATCTGCTTCGGGTGTATATGGATTTGAATTTGAAAATTTGGTAGTAGGGGTTGGATGGCATGAGACCACCATTTGTCTTGGAAGAAAACAGCTACATAACTAGTTGTGAAGAGACATGCTCTGTAGTATGTCAACAGGAATATGATACAGAAAAGCAGTCACTAAGGCTGCTGGATACCTAGCCACTGGGAGAAGAATTTGTACGTGGATCATTTTATGTTCTATTTGATGCAGTAAATAGCATGTGTCCTGTGCCCTTCAGGATAATCTCTTCTTATCCTTTTATGTCTAACTGTGTGAAAAACATTACAAAATCAAAATTTGGACAAATATCATGAACACAACTTACAGAAGACTTGGCTGCATGAATAGAAGATTGACTTCTGATGGAAAGAAATAGAACTTGATTTGGGTCTTAGTTATTTTGAACATACTGCCATACATTTTTTTTGTTTTTTTAAATCTACAGGCTGCACATGTTTGTGTAACTATATACCAAAGATAATTATCTGCCTGTAATTTTCATTTTTAACCCATGAAGATACTCTATTAGTCCTCTCTCAGCTGCTCTAGACCTCTTGGAACTCTGACAAACAAAAAGAGCTGCGCTACAGAGGGTTATTAATATGTAAGTAATTGCTGCATTTATTCTTATTAACCATTAAGACAAGAATATGCAGAGTTGGGTTAGTTTTTGGCCTAGTAATAGCTGAAGTTTAAATCACAGACTTCAAGATTCTTTCATGGAAGGTATCTGATTGTTAGCCACGCTGAGCTGCTAAGGCTATTATAAAAATGCTGGATGTTTCTCCAGAACAAACAACAAAAATTCCAGGCTCACATTTCTTTTTCTTTTTTGTTTTCTTTTATTTTTATTATTATTTTTCTACGTCTCTCTCTCATTCTTTAAGAAAAAATTCACCCTTCATTCAAAAGTATTAATCTTAACTCAGTGGTACCTTTCTTTCTAGGTTTCTTTGGTTTGAAGTCGCTGTGATGCACACATTTGGAATGAAGTGGAGGGCAGGTCTGTGAGTGGTTTCCAGATATTCACAGTTTGGCTTAGCCTGGACAGTCAGTTCAAGAACGCTTTTCTTTGGGTATAACACCAGAGCAACTCAGGACCCCTCATGCGAAACATTTAAAAAGCCAACCAAACATTTGCAATCCTGTAACAAAACTTGGGGTCAGATTATTTAAGAGTTTTGGATGAAGGTTCCAGTCAATTACAATTTTAGCTAACCTCTCCCTTGTCACCACCCTTTTTAGGCCCATTCCTTTCTGAGAAAGTTGGTTTAGGGCTGGTGCTGTGATTTCCTCTCATATTAGGTCTACCAGCAGGTTTTTACTCTGTGGTGAAGGAAAAACACCACATACTGGCAGAGATGCACAAAATTCCCCACATTCTATTACTGGGTTAGCTTTTACACACGGGCCAATGACTAACGGAAGGTAGATCTGAATCCCAAATATGAAGCAAAATCCATGTGTAAAGGCCTATAAAGATTGGGATAGATGGGTTGGGAATTGTGGAAGTGTTTCCTAAATATATGAAAGTGTGAGCTGTTCACCGTCTTCAATTTACAGACTGTTGTTCTCTATCTTAGATTAATAGAAATGTTGGTTCATTGGGCTGAGATCTAAAGGTGAATGTGGATGTGTGTTTGTGTAGTAGGGTAGGAGGACAGTAGTATTAAAAGGGAGGAACTGCAAAGGGGAGAGCGGAGGAGTAGGAGAAGGTTCTAGGAAATATTACCAGTATGTATAAATAGGTGAGTATAACCTGATAAAAAAATATGTGTGGTCTAGAGTATACTTTTGTACTTATTCGCAAGGTTGCTTATAATCCAATACTATCTGCCCTGGCAGTTGAGTCTGCAGCAGTTATTTTCTTATCTATTTACACAGAGGCAGCCGATTCTCCCTGTGGGAATGGCAGCCGGTTTTTTTGTGGGTTGGCGTTCTGAAGTGAGGCCCTGAGCCAGAAGCCTCCAGCGTCATGCTGACAAAGGCCAGCAGAGGTAAGCGGCTAGTTACGGTGTCACCACTCCCCAGAGGTGACTGTGAAGATGAGTGGCTTTTGCTGTTCATGGAGGCAAGCTGTCCTCCTTTTCTCTTTTTGAAATGAAGTTGAGACAGGAGCAAGAATGAATTAGGAGCACGAGGAAACGTTTAATTGGGCTGGTCCCTCACTCAGTGAAAAGCCTCCCCTTTAGCCAGAAGCCACTGCATACACCTCGGCTCTTACTCAAACTCCTACTGCCTGTGGCTTCTTCCTATTGACTTAAGCTGGGTTTTGGCTTCTGTCAGCCTCCAGCAAGGTCATAAATAGTACTTAATAAACAAAGGTAGAACATTTCTAATGGATGTCTTCAGTATCTCAAACACTCATAGACAACTTTATATTCCAAGGTTTTTGTCTTTTACAAAGTGGTAAACCTTTATTTTGTTGCTGATGGACACAAATAACAAAAAAGGAGACAACAGAACAAGAAAGAAGGAAGGATTAAATAATCAAAATATCATTACCTGGTCCAAGTCTCATAATCTTGGGAAGCAGGCCTTTGTACAAAGCTAAAATCCTGTAATAGGAAGGGAAAGAGAAACATTCTTATTCTGAAAATAAATGGAGTTGTACCTTAGCTTTATTGAGATGGGGGCCCAGCATTTAAAAAAATAAATTATTTGGAATTATATACATCTCAAAGCAGACAGCATCTTAGTATTCTCTGCAGCAAACTGGATGTGGGGAAAGAGTTAATCAATTCTTTATTACCCAACTCTGCTGGTCCTGCCCAATCAGAAACATGACTTTCATCAGCGAGATGCTTTTGCTTTCAAGACAGGTCTTACTTTCAAGACAGCTGTGTATATGGACAGAATGACTTTTGTAATTGAATTTAAAAGACCACAAACTCAGTCTTTACATTAGGAAATATGATGCAGTTTATATCAAAATAATAAAATATTACTTGTTTACTTGAGGAAAAGAGCGGCGACGAAACAGAAAGTAAGATTTTAAAAAATCAGAAAAAATGCACATACTTTAAATTTTTAAAATTATCTTGACAGAACTCCATAATTCTCCCAGGAGAATATAATTAGGTGGCATTTTGATGGGATTTAGAGTCAGAAGACAATTATTCTCCTGCGTTTATATTAATAGGACATATAACATACAATACTATATTATGCAAACTGTCAAGTAAAAAGTTCATCTTGGCATTCTATGGCAAACACGCAGCATATTGTCACTTGATGGTGTAAGCACATGTTTACAACATCTTATTATTTTATTGTCTTGGAAAGCTTGTCATACATATTTGCAGAGTTTCTTAGACACAAGCTCCACTTAGGAGGGCTTACTGGTTCTCATCTAAATGGAAGGACAATTCAGTTTTAACAATACGTGAGCCTTATACATTTATTAAAATAAGAATGTGTTATGTTACCCTTCTTCCTGATAGACTGTTGCCATTGTTTTAAAACAGGTTCTGTACTTGATCTCTCCAGGAACTGGTTGAGGCCCTTGAATCCTACTTTTGGCAACATCAAAAGGGATGTTAATGACTGAGGCTATTGTCCCCGAGAGAAGACCAATCCCAAATTTTCTCAAAAACTCCAAGGTTGGATCCTAAAAGAAAAGAAGAATAATATAACAGAAAGGGGAGCGGAAGCCCCTAAGTCGGTTAAACACTATAAAGCAATATGTATTTAAGCAGAGCATTGCACTCCCGGCACCCTCCTGTTATTCCAGCGGAACACATTAGGATTTCCTAGGCTGGAACTTGTTTTCTTGACAATCCCATTGGCTATGTTTTTACACATGGTCTAAATTGCTGAAGTACACATTTCCTCACACAGGATTTATAAACACAGTTCATAAAGAAAGACTGGTATGGCATATGGGGATGATTTGTATAATTGGGCTTCACAATGTACTTAGTATTACTGTATCAAAACAGGAGAAATCCAAGCACACTATTAGCTAATTGGCCAGAATATTTTACAAATGACAGCAACTTCCACCATGAAGCCTACTAAAATGCTCATTTGTGTGTGGACCCCCAAATGTTAAATTAAATCAAGGCTACTCTCGGTCTGCTGCTATTCCCTGCCAGGTTTTTTGCATTTATTTTCACGTGTGGCTGATCCACTGTACTGAGAAGTGCTAGCTTCCTGTTATTAACAAACCAACTTGGGGCAGCTGCAAAACAGCCTGTGATATTCTGTGCATTATAAACAGTAGTAAGTCACTGGACTAATTGACTGAAGAATTTACAATCCAGTTTCAGAATCTTGTTCTTCCTCCACGGCAAAGGAAGAAACTGAGAAAGAGAGAGCAAGAGTGAGTAAAAGAGAAATATTTCTTCTTTCTGTTAGAATTTAGGCCCTTCACGTCAGTCTGATTTGATTTTCCACCCCCGCCCCCCGCACTGCTTTCTGACATCAAAGTACTTAATTAGGTCTTATGTGGGAGTCACTTTCCTTTGGCCTATTTTTGTGCCCTCTGAGCTCACATTATGATTTGCTATAATGAATTTGCTGGGAAGTTCTCATTATGTTGCCAACCTCAGTTCTATGTTTTCAGTCCTCTGTTCTCTGAAGAGAGGTCATATCACATACTATAAGCTGCTGACTCTGACCCCCCACCCTATCTTTTCCCTGCCCTCTTTTTTTGATTGATATTTTAGAGGGATCATCACAGAGGAATAATATAGTGCTGTGCCACAACACTATTTTATCCAGAGGGGAAGCATACCATGCTTAAGTTAAACAAGAAAATTCAGGTCTGAGCATTACATGCTTCCAGCCTCTATGAAAGAAGAAAACTTCTGAGGGCTCTGAAATTTTCAGCTGAACCAAGAGCCAGTTACCATCACAGAAACTCCTATGTGGCTAAATATAAAAAGCAAGGGTTTGGTAATAATTCCTGGATCTGGGCCATACAGGTGCCGGGGAGGTTTAAAGGGATTTGAAAACCAACAGGGTGTTTCAACAGGAAAAACAATGCAGTGATTGCAGTATGAGTGAGGTGTGTTTAAATAATTCCCTCTCCCCCCATTTTTTCTCTTTTACAAGGAGAGAAAAATGCCTTTATGTTACTCCTCTCCATTATGGCACAGAAGCAGAACTGGAGCTCAGGAGGACAGTGAATTCTAGACCAGCTCTGGTTGTCTGACCTCGGATGAGTCACTGAATCACCTAGAGCCCAGTGTATACAAGGGAAGTTTTTAACCCCTACCTTACCTCTAAATTGTATCATTTTTCTGATAAATAAAAACAATAATATAAGTAAAAATGTTATAAGTGTTGCACAAACCTGGCAGAAAATGAATAGTATTTTTATATAGCCTGTTTTCTTTTTCTTTCTTTTTTTTTTTTTGAGACGGAGTCTCGCTCTGTCGCCCGGGCTGGAGTGCAGTGGCCGGATCTCAGCTCACTGCAAGCTCCGCCTCCCGGGTTTACGCCATTCTCCTGCCTCAGCCTCCCGAATAGCTGGGACTACAGGCGCCCGCCACCTCGCCCGGTGTAGCCTGTTTTCTAAAGATGCAAAACATTCTGTGAAAAGATGCTTTCTTGAAATCCCCGTGACATTGCAAAGCTCTCTTTCTTTTTCAATTAAGGACAAGAATGGAAACGATGATTTGTATACACATTGTCCTTCTGGGAAGTTTGGGAGACTGGCTGATGTGTTTGCTGAGGACCAAAGTTGGGGATGGAAGGTGAACAAAGAGACTCAGTGATGGTCATTGTGCTTGAGAGATGGCATTGGAAACCAAAAGCTTAGGTCTCCAGGTCATCATATCATAGTGTTCACTAGCAGGAGTAAGTGTCCACCTTTGTATTTATTTATTTATTTAAGATGGAGTCTCACTCTGTTGCCCAGGCTGGAGTGCAGTGGCAGGATCTTGGCTCACAGCAACCTACACCTCCTGGGTTCAGGTGATTTTCCTGCCTCAGCCTCCTGAGTAGCTGGGATTCCAGGTAGGTGCCATCATGCCCAACTAATTTTTTGTATTTTCAGTAGAGATGGGGTTTCACCATGTTGGCCAGGCTGGTCTCGAACTCCTGACCTCAGGTGATCTGCCTGCCTTGGCCTCCCAAAGTGTTGGGATTACAGGTGTAAGCCACCATGTCCGGCCCACCTTTGTTTTTTATACATTTCCCAGTACAACAGTAAGATCCCACAGTGGTTCCCCAATCCAGCTGTGCTTCAGAATCATCTGGCAATTTTACAAAATACAGATGCCTGGGTCCCGCTGCAGACCCATCTCGGGGGTCCCAGATCAGAACCTCATAGGAAGGTGCCTACAAATTGTTTAAAAAGCTCTCCAGGGCTCCTAAGGCTGCCAGATAAGGACCTGAGTCTAAGAATCAGTGATTTTGATGTTCCACACTGGCAAAGCAGATGGTCAGTTGCTACCCCTGTGGGCATTCTAGGGAGGAAAAGAATTTGCTTGGGATGGCCATGAGGCTATCCCTGACCACTGGCTTCTGGGCCTGTAGTCAGTCTCTTCCTTGACCCTGCTTGAATCCAGCATCCCCAGCTGGGCCTGCGTGTGCAAGGACAACCCTCTCAGCTCACCTCTGCTTTCTTTGCCACGTACCACCAGCCATCCTCGAATGAATGCAGCATCTCAGATGCCTTTCCCGTTCATCCTCTCCTGGCCACTGCCACCTCTCTGGCTTTAGATCAAGTTCCCATTACCTTTACCAAGTCTTGCTTCCTTCCTGCCTTCTAGGATCTATTCTTCACAGTGATATCGGGGTTCTCTTTTTAGAAAAACAGATCTGCTTCTGGTATCTTCCTACTCAAAGACCCTCAATACTTCCTGGATGCGCAGAGAATAAAGACAAACTGGCTCACTTGGCCATTGATTTCTTTCCCCTACCCTCAATATGCTTCCAACTTATGTTTCCAGCTTCCACTTCTACACCCTACCCTGAATCCATACTATGGTCACACTGGTTAATTCATAATTACTCAAACATACCAAGTACTTTCCCAACTCCACGCTTTTCTTCAAATGATTCCTGCAGCCTAGAATGTCTTTCTCCATCATATTCACCTATAGCAATCTCACTGCCCTTTAAGGTCCTGCTTAAATCCCATTCACCCAAGGAAGTTTTACAGATCCCCTGTCAAAATTGATTTATCTTCTCCCCTACTCCCAAGATACTGTCTGAACAACAGTCCTCACCTTTGCTATGGCCCACTTAGTGTTAGGTATATTTTTGCATGTATCTCTCTTCCCTGCAGGGCTGTGAATCTGCATAACATAGGAGCATGTGTTACTCCTCTTTGTGTCATCTGTTTTGCAGAGTACACAGTAGGTACTAAATAAATGTTTGCTGACTGGTCTATCAATGTTTATACTTATTTATTTTTTGTAGAAACTATGAGAATCAGGCTTAATCCTTAATCATTTTTTTTTTTTCTCAAGACTTAATGTCTTCCAGGCTGGAAGTGAATCCTTATGACAACGTTGTATTTCTGTCTTTCTCTCAGAAGGTATTAACATGGGGGCATGACAAGGTATCGGGCATTTGGAAAGTGGAGTATTTCAGAGTGGATAAATTGAGACTTTCAGGTCACAGAGACAGAGCTAACCTGGGGTTGCCCAGTTCTATTGCTCAGCGACTCTCACAGAACAACATGATATGGCAGGCTGTGGCCAGATTTTAGGAAAACAAACAAACAAACAAAAGCAATTGACAATTGACATAGTACTCTCTGGGCTCTTTGGTCTTAGATTTCCTGACCTTTTCCCTAGTAGAAAGAGGCATCCACTTGCCTCAAAAAGAATGAGGATTCTTGTAGCAGGACCACAAACAGAGAGAAAAAGGTAATGGTTTAGTGTTTTTACTTTCAAATTAGAATCTTGATCATAAAAATGGAAGCCCTGGAGAAGAGGCATAGTCTTGAAAAAGATTGGGAGCAGGGGACAAAGTATGTGGAGTCCACATGTAGAGAAGGCACCAGGATCCCTACTAGTGGCTGTGGCCAGAGAGCCATCACGCAGGAGCCATCCAACACACTGGACCCTTCCTTGGCATTCTGGTACCGTGTAGCCAGGGAAAAGCACCTCCCTTGGAAGCTGCCCTCACGGCACCTGGAGGAGAGGGTCTTCATAGCTGCTGCCAAATCAGGTTCAGGAATAATGCAGAGCACTCCCTAGTGCTAATGCTGCTGAGCTCATCCAAACTGCTCTGGTGGACAACCTCCTTGTCAGCAACACAGGGCCCTAATAAGCCTGGGGACAGGACGATGGTGTGGAGGAGAAAGTTCCAACCCTAGTCCTTGGGTGGGGCTGGGTCATTATTTGGTACTTATTTAGAAACTTTCCTTTGAAGCTATCTAAGACACAGACATCTCTGTGAGTTGGTCAATGATTTCACTGTCATTGTGATGGTTAAAACCCCTAGGCAAATTGAATTTGCATAGCATTTTGGAGTTACCTAGCAGGCAAGTTGCGTCATCAGGGAGAAAAACCCTCAGACAATGATTCTTTACTGGTTAACCATGAAATAAGGGGTCCTCAACTTGGAACCTGAGTCAGAGGAGAAAACAAGCAATACAGGAACCCATTTCATTGAACATAGTGAGCTTTTGTGGGGAGTAATGGGATG